CCTCTGAAAATCCTAGCCATTCCAAAGTCTGAAATTTTTGGATTCAACTCTTCATCCAACAAGATGTTACTTGCTTTTAGATCTCTATGAATAATTCGTAGTCTAGAATCTCTATGTAGATAAAGAGACCTCGGCTAATTCCTTCAATAATATTGAATCGTTTTCTCCAATCTAGGAATTCTTTTCTGATTGGATCTACATCAGTCATATAAACAAAAGATGGAAATTAGAATGAAAAGAACAAAACCAAGCATTATAACTATCAGAAATGAATGCTCTAGTCTAGGCCATTACCCCCTACCAAAAAAATAAAAGGAATGAATGTTTTGGACAGTGATAATGATATATAGATTGCTATGTTTATGTTCTTGAGGTTTTCGTAAGGAAAAAAAAAACCTTATTTGCATTCTATAATCAAATTCCAAATGAAAAGGAGGATGAATCACGCTCTAACCAAACAAATAAGTGTCCAAGCTTTTATTTGGCATGAACTCGTAGACCAAAATCTTCTCCTCTCGCTCCACAGAGCACCCTAGAAGCCTTACGAGATTTCGGTGTTGGAGCTTGGAAATCACAAATACTTCATTCATAAATTCTTCTAATCCTTGTCCTGATGCGCTAGATAGTCTTTTAACTGCTATTTTCTGCCCATTTTGCAATGTTCCCTAGGAAAAAGTAAAAACATGTTAGCACAAATTTTCATTTGACAGAATATGAACTGCTGGAAGCTAACGTTTACCCTGTACACGAGACCAAAACCTCCCTGCCCTAGCTGATTTGCAAGATTAAATTGTTTTGTTGCAGTTGCCAGTTCCTCAAATTTGAACAGTGGTAACTCTTGGAGTTTAACTTCAGTTGTGCTGGTGTTCCTTCTACCAAACAACATTTCTTCACTTTTCTCTTTCCGTGCTGAATGGATTAGTAGCAAATGTTGCATTAAGAGTTGCTAAATCATGAATTCTCAAGTTCAAACTGCTAAAACGGTAAAACAGATGAACAATTACATTCGCATACTTGCTACCTTTTCCTTTAGCCACCATCCACCTTCTTACGAACAGTGTGCAGATGCAAAAGATGATGGTTCCTACGATCACTGTTGTTATCATGATTATTAATTTTACATCTTTCTTTTGTTCTGCAAGTAAAAATCAAGAAATAAAAAACTGCCCTTTTAGACAAAACAGAATAGAGAAAAACGAAAATTTTCCATTCCTAACATATTTGTCTATCTTCAAGTTTAAGAATATCATACCAAATTCTGAGTATGCCAAACGAATGTAAAGATCCATCCCACCACTGGGGAACTTTTGAATGTCAATCAAGGTTCCATTCCATGACATACAGCCTATACCAGCATCATATGCATAAGCA